AACTATTACAATAACTAAGATATTGGTTCAGAAGAAGTATTAGGTATATCCATGTACCTTATTCATGTTTTTCTTCCTTTTTTCGCAAAGGTAGCCAGTTGTTGATTGTTGATAGGGAAGGAAAAACATATGTTTTCAGGAATTTAAATAGATTATATTAAAAAAATGGAAAACAAATCTAGTATATTTGTGTTAAATGGTAATGGTAAAAAGGTTAAATGACCATAATAAACAGCTTTATGCCATTATCACACATTTAATTTCACATTAGCTTTATTCAGTGAAATTATACTTATTTTTTTTCACACTTGATCTTCTTCGAGTTGCCTGCTCTACTGGACATTTATGGCAAACATGGGAAATATAACTTTTCCATGTTTGCTGTGACATTTTGTATGTTCCACTATCACATCTTGTTTTAAAAGAAAAATGAAAGAGTCCCTCCAACCCTGCAACTCCCTGAACAATGATCCATGACTTCTTCACAGTGGTTGACATTGCTTCCACATGGTCTCCTCTTTTGACACCTTCCATTAATGTCTATGATGCTGCACTATATACTTGTGTCTTATGATTGGACCTTTTTTCCCCTTATTTAACATCTTTCACTGTAAATCTTCCTGAAGGAGAGATTGTTACACTTTGGGGACATGTGTTTCCATCATAATGATGCTATTCAAGGAATCCAATATCCCTTAATATTATGTCCAAAACTCTGAAACCAAGGCCTTTTGCCTTGGCTTCAACTATTGTTTAACTGTATGCTTCCCTCCCTCCCTCTCTTCCTTCCATCCTTTCTTCCCTCCTTCTTTCCATAAAAATTTGTTTAGTTCTTCCAATGTATCAGATACTTTTTACTATGTATTGGCATATAAGTATGAATAAAGTGTGAGCCCAGCCTTTAAATAGATAGATGTTATAATTAGTACGTAGGGTCCTATGAATATAAATCTTTCTGGAAGTTGGAGTTGGAAAAGTCATTTCAAGAAGAAGGGGTAACTTTGTGATGGTGTGAGGCAAGAGAACACAGCCTATTAACAGAACTCTAGGAGTAGAATGGGTCTATCATAGGATGGAAATGGTGAAAAAAGACATGGGCAATTAAGTCTGGGCCAGATCTGGAAGGACTTTGGTATTGTAAGTGCTTTAGACTTCATTCAGAAAGCTTAGGCTGTTTCATGGGGGTTGACATTGAAAGGTTTTAAGAAAAAAGGACATGTTTGGATTTATGTTTTCAAAAAGTCATTCAAGCAATAGATTGGAGGATAGACTAGAGTGGAAGGAGACCATTTGTCTCGGGAACAAGACTTTCGCAAGTAACTAGTTTTAAAAAGATGAAGGCTGAACTAATATAGAAAACTAATTGCTTCACAGTTTCTGAAGTGAACACTTGGGAGGATAATATTGCTATTCATGAAAAAGGGAAGACAGAAAATAGAACTATTTTAAGAAGAATAGAGGATGAATGTGTGTGTGGAAGAAGGATGAGATGAGTTCTTTTGGGTAGATATATTGAAATCGAGGTACCTTAGGAATACCCCACAGATGTTAAGTGTATTTTAGATACATGGATTAGGAGAAGCTGCCTATTCTTTGAAAACCTACTCAAATGCTTCCTTTGAGTCCCCTTTTCCCTACTCTTTCCTAAAAACAGTATCTTCTACTTCTGAATCCTCTAGATATTTACTTTTCATATAGTATTTCACTTTTCATGTACTTTTATTTACTCTTGCTATTACTTTTCAGTTCTATTAGTTTGTAAGCTTATCCTTGAGAACACAGAATATGTCAGATATATCTCTGATTTAAATAGCATATTAACCTATACACAGCTTATGTATAACAAATATTTTTGAATTAATGAATAAGAAATTGACAATCTAGTGTTTCTTTTTTCCCTGTAATCCACACAGTTGTCCCTCATTATGTACTAACACAATAATAATCATCTTTTACTGAACACCTATTATTTACCAGTCTTTTTAGTAAGTTCTTTATGATATATCAGCAAACATACCTATGATGTATTATTATTAAAATTTTATAGAATAAGAAACTGAATTTTAGATTTTAAATCTTGCTCAAGGTTACCCAGCTAGTAAGTGGCACAGTTAGGATTTGAACCAAGGTCTCTCTGGAAAAAGAGACACCTAACATGCATTGTGCTATCTTTGCATGTTAACCAGACTAGGCCATGGTTCACATTATATTAAATGGCCAAATTCCTTAGGGTTTAGTACCTAGTCTAATGCTTTCATTAAACATGGAGAAATAGTTTCTAAAACATCATTTAGTTTATTTTACTTTTTTTCATTTTTTAATTATAAAAGTATTACATGGCTACTATAAAGTAATTTAAAGAATTTAGACGTTAATAAATTTCTCCTTCCAAATTTCATTCCCTAAAAATAACCACTTTTAATAACTTAGTATGTATAAAATATCTACATATATAAAGATAGATGTCATACAGTTTTTTAAAAAGTCAATCCTGAATCCCACTCAACTTTATGAATCTGTTTCTGTCAATACCTTTGAAGCTTTTTATATGCTCCTATCACATTTCATCTCCTCTCTCCCCTATCATTCATGTCTGTCCTGAAATTTGTGTTTTATCATTCCCATTATAGTTTTATTACATGTATTATATAATCAATAATAAACATCCCTAAAGTTTTGTGAGTTTTTTATTTATATAAATGAAATTATTCTCTGTGTGCTCTAAGGCCAAATTGTTTCCTATCAGCTATATATAATCCTTATTGTCACCAACGCTTGATGTAGTCAGAAATTTTAGAGTTTTGTTATAGATACTGCTGTCATTTCATATTCTTAGTCTCTTAGTTTATTGTTTTTGGGAGATTGGTGGTACCTTATGCCCCAAAGTTTCAATATTATGTTTGGAAATTGAGGATATGTATTCTTTCTTTTGCCTTTTCATCTGATTTTTCTTCCCTTTGACTTTCCTTTTATTGTCCTCTTTTCATCTTTTCTTCTTCTCTTCTCCTTTAGAAGCAATGATGGTTAAGAATACAGCCTTCAGAGCCAGACTACCTGGGATCCAATCTCAGCTCTGACACTTACTAAAGATTGACCTTGGGCATATTGGTGTACTCTCTCTGCAGTGGTATCTTCCTTTGTCTAATGGGGATAATAATTCTCTACTTCATAGAGATGTTGCAAAGATTGTATATGAGTTAATTCATTGGTATGTAAAATGCTAGGAACAGTGCCTGGCACATAAAGTAATAATTAGTAAAGGATATTTTTTCTCTCTATTTCTCTCAACGGTTCCTTTCATGTATGCCTGTCTTTTACCCATAATCACCCCAGGGTTTAAATTAGTAAGAGTATGGGGCACTTGGCTCTTCTGTAACCCTGTCATCCTATAGTAGGGGGGGATTTCAATGTTGTGAGTAGATCTAGCAAGGGAAATCTGTGAGTGGCATTTCTCATTGGCATGAACTATGCCAGTAGGCATCTTGTTCCCCTAGGGGAAGCACCTTTGGTAAGACAAAGGTTGAATGTTACAATTATCCCTTGGGAGGCCACTGGGAATGCAGTGTGGGACAAAATAGACAATATTACTAACTTTGGGATTTTCAAATTTAGTGGAAGAGACTATCACTAAATAATCTTTAAGTATTATGTGATTGTGCTAAATGTCATTAAGAGTTATGAAGGTGTGAAATGGAAAGGCCTAATTGTAGTCTGGGAAGTCAGGGAAGGCTCTCTGGAGGAAAGGACTTTAAGCTGTTCTTCCTCCTACCCACGTGGAATACAATAATATGATCCAAGAATGCAATTTATTCCAGTCTCTGCTATCATTTGGTATGTGTAATATAAGCATGCAACAATAGTGAATCTTTCTTTTATTCCACTCATAGTAATAATTGTTTCAAGGAGTCTCACACTCTTAATTATTTCCAAAAAACTTTATTTCCTCATATAGTAATCTTTTCATGGTGCCTTCCATTCATTATCAGGTAATGCAAATATATTCTCATGTGTGGTTTTTACAGTTTATTCTACACTTCAACTACACCTTATGTAATCTAACTGATTTGTGTGAATTCTCCCCATACTCTATGTATTTCTTATTTGTTTATAAGCCCCATGGCCCTCTCCTCTGCCTCCCTTAACTTAAATGGACTTTCTGAGAATTCTAGCTAGAACAGGCATTCTGTGATGGATTCATTTTACAGAGGGAACTCATTTTACTAATGAATAATTGAAACATGCAAGCGTTTTAGTCTTGCATGATACGTGTATAGTGACATTTAAACAGTAAATTCAAATAATTATGTTTTTAAAATAATGACACAATAACACACTGCTTTTTTATTCCCTAATAAAAATTACTGGCAAATTAATTAGTTGCAAAATTGGTGATTATAAAAATAAAAAAAAGTAAAGCTGTTGAAAGCCCGTGGCTTCTCAGAGAAAGGTTAATTTTTAAAACATAGCTTATGAGTTTTGAAATGCTTTATTTAGTATTTTAATTTTATTTAAAATGACATGAAATCATAATTATCATTTTAGAAGAAATTGAAGATTAAGTTTAACACCTTGGCTTGCTTTAGAATTATATTAGTTGCTAATGAAATGCTTTCTTTTGTTTTTGTTTTTTTTTTTGAGACAGAGTCTCACTTTGTTGCCCTAGCTAGAGTGAGTGCCCATGGCATCAGCCTAGCTCACAGCAACCTCAAACTCCTGGGCTCAAGCAATTCTTCTGCCTCAGCCTCCCAAGTAGCTGGGACTACAGGCATGCACCACCATGCCCGGCTAATTTTTTCTATATATATTAGTTGGCTAATTAATTTCTTTCTATTTATAGTAGAGACAGGGTCTCGCTCTTGCTCAGGCTGGTTTCGAACTCCTTACCTCGAGCAATCTGCCGCCTCGGCCTCCCAGAGTGCTAGGATTACAGGCGTGAGCCACTGCCCACTCATCCTAATGGAATGCTTTTTAAACATTTTTTTTTTTTTTTTTTTTTTTAGTGTTGTGAATACATTTAGAGAACAGGAGAATGCCGCAGTAGTGAAAATCCAGAGCTGGTTTCGAGGATGTCAAATTCGGGCATATCTCAGGTATAATGATTTAAACATTTTATATATTATAAAAATATATTCCTTAGAAAATGTAATTTATTCATGTAGTACTCATTTCAAGTAATTTTTTATTTTAATCACAATGAAGTTAAGGAATTGTGTGATGTGCTTTTAAAAAATGCATAGTATTTCTGATCTTTTCTTACCAAAACTAAATTACATTGACTATATCTCTACTTTTAAAAATTCTCAATATTATAAATGTGCTTGATCAGATTCTTTTTCCAAACCCAATAGGATGTGACATATGACTGGGTTTGTATTTATAGCAATGAATTTATTGACTGGTAAGCAAGAGGGGGAACAAAAAGGAAGCTATTTCAATTCTTTCCAACATGTTGGTAGATAAAAGCAAATGATACCTGAATGATGTCATTCTGATTATCCAAAGGACTGAAATTTATCTCTATCTTAACTCTTCTCACTTTTTCTTTGGTGCCCAAACAGTCCCTCAGTTTCCCATCAATTCTGAAAAAAATACTGTTCTGGATAAGGTAGAAGAAAATATGCCTAGTCCATAATAACTCAGATAGTAGGCTGGGAATTATACTGTATAATACTTCTTTATACAATCTAGTGGGAGCCAGACATTGCAAATTTAAAGTATGAAGTTGAGGCTTCTCTTTTGGCCACTATACAAACTGGGAACATGGCAGCAAATAGAGTATTTTTTAATTCAGCAGACAACCTGATATTGGTTTGGACAGACTGAAGAATATATGAAAAGAATGAAGAGGGTAACTGTTTCTTCATCTCATGAATTATTTCTAAGTACTTATAATTATTTGTATCCATAGTGCCTGGTTTATTTCTCAACATGTCACTATGACTTGCTTTATGGTCTTAATATTCGAAAATATTTTAAAGAATAAGTATTAAAGAATAATTGAAATTAAAATGTTATTTAATCGTAAGCCCAAAAGAAATGATGAATAGTTACCTATAACCTTTTTTCTACCTCTAGAAATGATAAATTCTGTCCCAGAATGATAACTTTCTACTCTTTAAAAGTACACATAAACTTGGCTTTAAATTTGAATTCTTGAATTGTAGGATAATATGTTCCAAGCAAAGATTTAAGCGATATTCCTGGTTCAACAAAAGTGTACTATTATTAAGCCTATTTTTTTTTTTTTATCCTATAGGCATTTAGGCAGAGCAGCAACAATTATCCAAAAATGGTGGAGAAGTTACTTAGGCAGAAAACAATTTCAACTAACTGTGAAGGTAAATATAAGATTTATGTATGTTAGCATTTGAATTATGCAATATCCTGTAACGTATTCACTTCAGTTGTATTTACATATAGTTTGGAAATTACTGATGGTAAGTAATTATATGAGGACAAAATTGGGCTTAATTTTTGGTATGATATCTCTTCTGAAACATTTCCTGATTTTTCCATGGAGAATTGACTCATTTTTTTTATATCCAAACTACACCGCTTATTTTCATTTTGTTAAAAGTACCTTTCACAGTGTATGTGCTTTTACTTATTTGTTGTTGATTGTATATACTTGCCAGATGTTGAGCTTTTTGAGAGTAGGCACTGTGGAATGTTTATATTTGGGTCATCACCATTTTAGACTAATGCCTAATAGCACAGTCGATAAACATCCTCATAAGGATGCTAAATTGGTAGAAGCAAGCAACAAGCCTTCCTTTGTAACCTCTGCAAGACTTTGTACTAAATTTTGTTTTATAGGTGCAAATAAATTTAAACAAATTTATAAATTATTGTTCCATAATGGATTTTTATAGAAAGTTACACATATTTATGGATTTAATCACGAATATACTTGCAATTAATATTATTAGAAAGCAATAAAAGATTATATGGTACCTTTATACCAGCTATTATTTATTTAATACCTGCTATTTACCAGGGATTTTTCATAGATTATTTAATTTATATATCATGACATTTACTAAAAGTAACTATCATAATACTAATTTGGTAGGTTGGGAAACTGAAGGTCAGATACTTGTGCATGAACACATAGTGGTATACCTTACAGTTATTAGAGAAATTTTTACATTGTGTGGCAATTGCTTGATAATTGCCAACATCTTCTGCATTCTCACAAGATGGTGCCTGTTACATATTACATATTCAATTATCACTTAGGTAAGTGAATAGAAGAATGAGAACCAGTGCTATTTCTACTTTACTATGCTACTCCCCTTATCAGGTAGAAGCCAGAAATTGAACTTGATCAGTCATCAGTCTGAGTATAGTGCATCTTACTTTTTTTTCCCTCTCTTGATGTCATTTCGGTTAAAAGTGTTGTTTTAAAAAGTAGCTCTTTGAATTACTCTGAAATCAAATGCCCCAATTTCTGTTTCTGTTTAATATTTTGAAAAGGAGACATTGGGGAGAAAAGTTATCTTTCTAGAATATCTGCTAGGTGCCAGGCACTGTGGTAAACATTTTATATGCAGTGTCTCTGAGTCTTATATCCAGGTTTTGACTCTTGATGAGCAGTAGAAAAAGTCCAATTGGCCACCCAAGAAAGTTTGTTTTGTTACTTTAACATCTCAACTGAATTTGATCATGCTGGTATCACTCAGCATGATCACCAAATAATTCTCCATATTTGGATGTAATTATTTTTTAGTTCCTCTGAAAAAAATCAAAACACAAAGATTTTTCTTAGATTGGTTCATGATGGTTTTTAAACCTGGTAAGCTCTAAGCTTCTTGAGAACAGGCCTGTTTTATTCATTTTATTTTTGCTGTTGTGCACACAGTGCCTAACATAAGGCATGAAACATAATCATAATGGGATCTTGATAAATAATTATCAAATAAGATTAAAATAGCTCCTATTTGCTGGTTGCCTGGTGCAAGTGGAATATTGCACTAAGCACTTTGTATTCTTAATGCATACACCAGCTTTTAAAATCTTACATCAACCCTATGAATATCATCACTATTTTGTAGATGAGGAGTGTTGGGCTCAGGTTACTCCCCTAAGGACAAACTATTGGTGTTAAGTGGAAACAAGTCCAAACTCAGTTTGATCTGATTTCAAAACCCTTATATATTGAGCTGACAGGCAACTCAATCTCTGTCATTATTAGAGATTTTTCTTCTTTGAGGTATATGGAGGTCCTATACAACTTAAGTAGTGCCCACATATCAAAGATTTCTACTTTCACTGAGCCCTCTTTCAAAAGATGCCCATTGTCTAAGACTATGTGCTTGATCCTTCCAAGTTCATCTTTTGAGGACTCTTTGGCTCCTGGGCCACAGAAAGGGAATGGGAATTTTTGCCAGAGCTGATAATCCCGAGTGCTTAGAAGCCAGTCTCCTCCACAGCTGCGACCAAGCTTACTTCTGGAGTGTTAGCTACCACCCAGGAGCAACAGGAATGCCAAATCCTGTATTTCGTCATTTCAATGGCTAACGCCCAGCTCTTTCCCAGGTGTGTGGAATCTTTGCTCCTCTCTTCCCATTTCTCTGACCATACTGCTGCTTTTACCTCCCCCCTTCCCTGTAACATAATGTCTCAGAGATTAGGTTTTAGGAAAACAAAGCTAGGGATGGACAGTCACATGCAAACCTTCTGAAGCAAGAGTTAGTGCAAGGACTTGCTATTTTCTTGCATTGGGGAGTGAGTTGAAGATATTGTTTAAATCTCCATACTGTCATACACATAGTACTAGAGTAATTATGCTTAAACCATCATTTTCCAATTGATTCTGCATAACTTTTTGGTTTAATAGCCAAATACAATACTAGTGCCATATAGTATATGGTTAAGGTATAAAATGAATGGTGTAGAATAGTGATTTTAAAACTTTAGTAACAGAACTCCTCCCTTAACAAAAATTTTAGCAAAATTTTTAACCCCATATGTAAAACAAGTACAAGCAGGGCAGCATTTTTGGAAACTAGAGAAATGCAACTGCTTGAATTCTTTCCCTGTGATTACTATTGTCACCTGAGCCACCAGGGCATGATTTGAAAGCCACTGATTTAATCTGCTTGTCTCTAGAAGGATCACAAAAAAGCTGGTAATATTAATTGCCTGCAGGAAGAGATCTGAGTAGTCCAGAAATAGGGGTGAGGAAGAGACTTTTTGCTGTCAACTCTTTTGTAGCTTTTGAATTTTAAACAATGTGAATGTATTATCTATTAAAGAAATTAATTAAAAAATAAAGTTAATTTAAAAGAGATGTTATCCCTGCCCGCCCCCCCCCCCACAGAGATAATATGTGTTCAGATGGGAAGTTAATGTAGGCTCTGATGGTCAAGGAAATGACACTTGAACTGACCTTTGGGGAGAACAGCATGAAGTTTTGAAATTGGGAACGGACATAACATATTGAGAAAAAATGAGAATGTTGATCAAAATTATGCGAGAGTGGGAAATAGCAGAAGTTTGGTAAGGAGTTGAGTGTGACTTTTATAAAATAATTTTCTATATTTTAAAGGAATTTCTTGTTTAAAAATATTTTTGACATTCATTGCCTGATACATCCCTAGCAATGTCCTGTTGAGAAGAACATACAGGTGGAATCTTCACATTATAGATGAAGAAATGGAGGCTCAGGTAGATTGATTAAATGATGCACCTAAGGTTCTCAGCTCCTGATCCATGTACATCTATATAGATCCACATGGAAAATACTAAACATATTCTCTAGATGTCTCAGGTAACCCAAATTGTCTCCTCCTCTTGTATTCCTTTATTCAGGTAAATATTACCACTGTTCAACTAGAAATTCAACTCTGAGAAACAGTCATCCTAGACCCCCTACCATGTCTTACTCCTACCCCCTATCTCTTATTGGTCATCAAATTATTTTCATTTGCACTCATAAATGTCTCTTAACTCTCATCTAAACTGCGTCATTTTTCTGCCCTGCCTACACTCCTTCTCTCATAGCATAAAATATAAAGTCCTTACTCTTCAACATGATATGTCAGGTCTTCCATAGTCTGATGATTGCTTCTTATCTAACCTCACTTCCTGCAATGGCTGCAAAATTTTCTTTCGTTCTTTTTAGGCCTTTTTTCTTTGCCCAATGTTGCGGGTTCTTTTTCCCTTAAGGTTTTTTTGCAATTGTTTTTCTTTTTGCTTGGATTGCCTTTGGCCCTTTTGCTTTGTTTGGCTTTGTTTTAATTCCTTTTTTTTCCTTCAGGCTTTGAGGTTTGGCTTTCCCCCGTCTCAAGTAGAAAGTAAAATTCAGGAAGGCTGCAGATATTAGGTGTATCTTCCTAATGCTTTGTCGTGTAGGCATTAGGAAGGCGTCCCACTATGATACACTTGTTTATTTATTTTTCTCTCATTTGACTGGGAGCTCCTAAAGAGTCGTGATGCTTCTATTTATTGTATCTCCAAAATATCACAGTGAACATCACACAAAGGCCTGCAGAAATCTTTCCTGACTGTATGAATGAATGATTCACAGGGATACAAATTGGAAGATGTTTTCTCTGGTCATGTGGCTGATGATTAATATCAATATGTGTCAGAGTTGGTTATATTCTTGTTCAAAATTAGTCATCTTCTCTCCCTTCATCATCAAAGAGTGACTCATCTTTATCCCACTGATTTGGGGCTTGGCCATATGTTGTGAGCAGATGAGACATATGCCACATCCAAACTGCAGCTTTTAGGAATCTTCCTCACTCTTCCTCTCTGACATAGGAATGGAAGATGCAGGCTCCTTCTTCAGCCTTAGGGTTGAGGTGGAGAGACGCATAGAACATACCTACAGGGAACTTTAGCTCAGATGTAAAGTGAGTCAGAAGTAAACATTTTTTATTTGTAACCTACTGAGATGCTTGCATTTTTATCTTAGCAAAGCTGATTAATAGTTACAACGATAACAAAAGCAAGGATGTTTGTAAGAAACATTCTGAGTGGGGTACTCAGTGATGCTTACCAAAACATGTTTTGAATTTTTTAAGTTTGTGATGATGTTAGAACACCTCCGTGTGGTGATATCTTATAAAGCGATGGTGCAAACTCACCAAAATCTCTGGGCATATCATAATTAGAACTCAACAAATGTTTATTAGGTCAGGTGCGGTAGCTCACGTCTGTAATCCTAGCATTTTGGGAGGCTCAGGCGGAAGGATAGCTTGAGGCCAGGAGCTGGAGACTAGCCTGAGCAGCATAGCGAGCCCTCATCTCTACAATAAGTGAAACAAATTAGCCGGGCATAGTGGCACACACCTGTAGTCTTAGCTACTCAGGAGGCTGAGGCAGGAGG